TAATTATTTCTCTAAATCCTTGAAATCATGGAGTGTATGTGCATACACATGTTTGTATGTGCTTGTTGCGGGTATTGTCAAGACTGAATGTTCTAAGTGGATAACGGAGGGGATGCTAATACTAGTGGAGGCCTCTTCCCCCCGGGGAACTTCGCAGGTGGGGGCGGTATGGTGAGGACAACCCTTTAGGAGACTTTGGGGTATGGCTCTGAATCTGATTATTCACATCTCCTGGCCGAGGACCCAGCTCTTGGACATATCTAGAGCTTGGACTACATTTGCTCTATGTAAGTTGCTGTCTAGGTGACTAAAAGCCCCCACACACCAGAATCCCAGCCAAATGTGATATGCACTAGGAGGAACCATGTATCTCCCTCAGGGCTGTATCTTGGACCCCTAGACACCACTCTTCCTCCCTTCGACTAACGTGGAGAACGTTACTGCCTGCTAGCTAGCATTGAGCAGCAGAGGTGGTAAGCCAAGTTTTACTTCAGCTTATCTGAAGAAAGAAAAACAGAGAATCCAGACAGAGGGGCAAGCTGCCAAGTATTGCTGTTTTCAAAATATGATTCTTGGGGGAGCGAGAGGAGGAGGTGGGATAGTGTTATACTATGTATTATCATAAGTTGTAGATAATATTTTCTACGTGCATGGTGAACATGACAGTTAACGTACTCGTATGCTCACATCATTATCTAGATCATGCATTTTCATGTCCCAAATTTGAAATCCGTATGTTAATTGGATCCTGGGGATATAGAGTTTGAATTATCTACTGCAGCAGAATTGCTCCAGTGGCATCTGTCCTTAGCTTTATCCATTTATCCCAAAACTAAAAAAGTCCATTGGCAAGGGTGTCAGGGAAGAGGATGGCAGGAAAGAGTCTGAAACTAGTTCAAACACACTTTTTAAAAGCCTTGTATTAGGAACCTTGTATTAATGAGTTAACTCGCTCTCAGGTAAAATTAACACTAATTTCATTTTTCTAAGGGCTTTGCCTGTATAGTAAACCCTGTTTAAAAAATACTTTCAAAGGCTTTGAAGCACGCCTCAGTTTACAAGTACCACCATGGCATACCTCTTTTTCTGTTTGTTTTTAAATGTCTGTCTTTCAAAAAAAAAAAAACAAACAAACAATGTTTTTAGAAACCACTTCATGAGAATTAGTGGGTATGGAGAAATGAGAACAAGTCTTTTCTTGGGTGTGAGTGCTGGGTAGTCGGCTAGGCTCTCCCACTGGCCACAGCTTCACTTCAGCCTCTCAATACAGAGGATCAAATCTGCTCTTTAGCAAAATGATGGATGACTATGCCAAAGACCCCCAGGATCACCTACAAATCACAAAATGCTGTTAGAGAATGCTAAAGAGTCTATTACAGAATATTACTAAACTATTACTATGCTAGGTTAATTTAGATAATATTACTAATTCAGAGTCCTTATAACTTACATTCCAGTCATTTAGCCAGTTAAGAAGTCAGCCAGTTAAGTAAAGGACTGCTAAACAACAGGGCAGGGTGAATGAAGTTCTTTTCAAACACCTCAGAAAACTCTAATTCTATTCATTTGAAACATTGCTTACAAGTTCTCCATATTATTAAACTCCATTCATTAACTTGTGGGGTAAAACCTTGTTCTGACATTTTCTATCTTGATTAAAATTTCTTTGTAACTCCAAAAGCTATAAAACCACATTTTAAAAAACCTGTAATTCAGATTTAAAAATTGACAAGGGTCAAATTATTCCAAATTGATTTGATTTTTAAATACCTAATCAGTAATTGGGAGGTAAAGTTGTTCTCCGGTCCCCAGATGGGTTTAAACTGACATCTGTATTAAAGATACAAGCTTCATAAACTGCTCACTCCTTTATTGAATATATGTTTGGGGTGGTTTAGAAATTATGATTAGTGACCTGAACCACAGGATCTCTTTAAGGCTTTTCAGCTCTCATCTTTTCAGAGTCAGGATTCTCTAATTTTATAATTATTTCCCAGGGTCACAAAAGTCCACGTCAGGCACGATGTTGTTTATAGACAGCGTCTTCAATGTCATTTACGGCTCAGGAGCTTTTAACCACAAAATTACGGAGGGTGGAGGCACTGGGGAAAAGGAAAAGGAGAATTTATCATGCTAATCTCTTATCTGGGTGACAAGATTTCCTTGATCAGTCTTAGAAGAAAACAAAGGCCTCCAGCAGAGGGCGGCTTTCAAGAATGGAGTGGAGTTAGGCTGGGTGTCAAGTGCTGTCAGGAAAGTGTGAGGACTAGCCAACCCTACTACTCACTAATTCACACCTTATCCTGACCCTTTCTCCATTAATAATAACACACCGAGGATAACTGTGATGCTTTAAAACTAGGTTGGTGGCTTTGCACTAATTTCTCAACTCACCTGACAATAGAATAATTCCCCAGGAAACAAATACTTCTTGTTTCCACTTTTATAAATTCTAGGTAAGCCTGCGCTATGCCCACTTCAGTTTATTTAAACATAAACACTCTAGGATGTAAACGGGTGTAATAAAAACATTCATAAGCTCACAACTGGGAAGGTAATTAATGGGTTACATAACTTTAAATTCTCTTTTGCCTTTACAAATGAGTCACCTTATCCATATAGAACAGTCTGGAAAAAAATCACATCTTTCAAAAAGGAATGAAGATTTCCAAGTCTTATCCTCATTACATCCAAATCAGGACGCAGAGAATTCAGGTCTACATTTCATTTCTAGGAATAACCCTTCACTGGATAAGGATTCCTCCTCTACACAGTTATTGTTTAAAGTTCCCAACTAAGTATTTTCATGCACCACTTCACCTAAAGGGCAAAGCAGAATGGAAAATTAAGGTAGGCAAATATTTTTTCACCATGCTTAGTAATACGGAAACTGTATCTCTTTTCCAACCCTGTACATCTGACTCACAAGAGGATTGATTGCACATTCCACGCTCCATCACTCAATATAAGCCAATGTCCCGCTGTCCACATATAAAAATACGTATACCTTATGAGGATGGTGCCACTTCATAAGACCACTACTAACCTTGTGGTGAAGGGACATTGCACATTATCAGATGTGAAAACAACACCCATCTGCTTGGAGATGGCACTGAGACGGCTCTCTCCTAGCCCTGCACCTTAGTTTTCAAAACTGCAACAACACAAGTCTCCTCAAGAGGGCATATGTTGGGAGAATGATTTAACTCCTAAAGCAAGTAAGTGCTGGGAGGGAAATCTAATCCTTAGGACATACATTCTCTATTGCACAACGTATGAACTCCTGTGACTGCTAGAAACAGTAATGACAGAAAGAAACAGTGGGAAAGTTTGTGAAGATAAAAGTTTTGAACACCAGTTAGAAGGATGACAAAGGATTTTCCATGGAATCTGTGGCCAGGGATACTGACCAGTGAAACCATGCTAATTCCTAAAGCAAATATCTAAAAATGAACAAAGCTCTGTGAATACGCTGCAGTCAGGCTTGCTCTCATTATCAAAAGTCACAGAACCTGTTAAAGGAAAATGGACCTGATCACAGGATGGTTTAAAAATTACAGTCTTGTACAAGAAAGAAATGTAAGGCATTTGTAAGTCCAGTCACCCTAAACATAATCTTGTGGTCAAACGAAGCTTAACTTCTTCTCTATCAGATTTTAGGCAAAATGAACTACCCTAGTGACCCGGGACAAAAAGGGTATAAAATTGTCAATTGTGAGTCCATGAGAAACAAATTCCCAGGAGTCAGTAGGAGTTATGCATGAATAATGCCTGGTGGATTGAATCCGAAGGGGTCTATGAGAAGAAATGCGCAGGAGAAACTGAGACTCTTATTAAACACTGCAGAGAGGGGCCAGTAATGTTTTCAGATCCACTAATGGGCCCTTTGGCACTTATGCTACAGACAGAAAAATGTGCCCACCATTCACCATCTACCTGAATGAGTTGTCAGTGTTACAAATTGAGATACAAATTATTAGTTACCTTGGAAAAATGCTTCCTTTCCAGTTCAGGCACAGGAAAGCATGACAAGTTATCTCCTGACTTTAAGTGGGATAAACAGAAGTTAAACAATTTATTCAAGTGCAGATGGCATGCATATCATGACAAACACTTTCATATGTAAATCTGAGCTTTTCTGTGGCATTTCCTAAGTTCCTTCTCCCCGCTCCACCTCCAATCTGCTCACCTCTCACAGACTTCTTGAGAGACACAGTGATAAGGTCTATTTTAGATACTCTTATACACAAGTAGAATCCTGAAACAAGTGCAATAAATACCCTGATATTATTATAATTTGGCATTTGGCTTTTGGCCACAGCTGACTTCAAACTATAAATTCAACTCCTTCCCACACAGACATGTTAAAACGATTCTGGCATTGGCCGATCTACTCCTAAAAAGCACTCCGGGACCCCTCAAGTTCAATTTCAGGAGCTGAGAGAAGTCAGCCCCATGCCAACACCAACCGGGAGCTTTCACCCGCTAGGGGCTGTTTCTGATGTCTCATGGGTGTTGCCTACAGGGCAATAAAACAAACAGGATCTCTCATAAGATGTTGGAAAGCAAACCTAATTTGTACTCAGGAGGGGAGTGGTGGTTTTCCTTAACCTAAATAATTCTTCTTTCTCTTCTTTTAAAACACTTTAAGAACTTTTCCCCCCCAAACTTTTATTTAAAAGTTAACTCGTGATGAATGGCCACAGGCTGAAGAAGAAACAGTTGCTTTCAACCACTGACAGTTCACGGATAGTAGCTTCTAGGGAAGCACACGGTCATCAATGAAGGCTTCAGAGAAAATATCCTAGTCCCCAACCTGTGTTTGCTGCCCTTTCCTTGCTTGCTAATGTGTTCACAATCACGTGCCCAACCAAGGTTACACATTAATGTTCACATCTTGTCGGAAGACATATATGCAAAACTCAAGGAAAACAAATAGTGGTGGTGGCGGTGGTGGTGCGTGTCTGTGTGTAGGAGGTGGGGCAGTTGCCACCGTCCAGCTAGAGAGCTTGCCCAGAGCCGGCTCTTTCTCTACTCGCACCAGGCACCCAAGAGAGCAGTTTCAGAACCGTCTTTCCCCATCCGCTCCACGGGCAACACTGCGTGAATCCAGGTGCCCTGCAGCCCTGAAGTCTCCGCAGAGCTCCTTCAGGCTGTGGGTCCCAGCCCTCGAGCTCCAAGGGCGGCCTGGGCGAGGTCACCCGACCCCGCGCGCATCGGCCCTTTGTCCCGCTCCTCCCCGCGCCGCGCTCCCCCGCGTCCGAGAGGGCACCCCAGCCGCGCCCGCACTCACCCGCGCCGAGCTGCCCGCCAGGGCCCGGGTTTGCTGCGCGGCTCAGACAGGTGTGGGTGCCGGGAGGGCGCGCGCAGCTCCCATGCCTGCCCCGCGGCGAGACAGAGTGCGAGCGGGCGGGGGGAGCAGCGCCGGCCGCGAGCGGGTCCGCCCCCCGCGCCTCCCGAGGCCCGCCCTCCGCCTTCGGGGAAGCCGCGCGCCCGCCGCCCGCCGCCGACTCCCACCCCGCACGCGCCTCGCGCCCCTTCCACTCGCTGCCCGCCTCCGGCCCGAGGAGGGCCGCGCGGCCCCGCACAGGTGGGCCCCGGCGGCGCGGCGGCGCGCTCCTCTCCCGGCCTCTCGGCTCCAGCCAGTCAGCGCCGGTTCTCGTGGGGGGCCGGCCCTGCCCAGGACCCACGCACCTTCGCCCTCCCAACACCTCGCACCCCGGGGCCGGGGCGCAGTCCGCCGCCTGCTCACAAAGATCACCCCCAAGGTCGACAGCACTGGGGACGCAGGCCACACCTGGTGCGTGGGGAGCCCCTCCGCCCATTTGAAGAGTTGGCGAAAAATCCTCTGCGCTCCCCCGCAAGCACTTAGAGAGTTTTTAGGTGATGGCCGAGTTCCTTCCCGCTTCCCCCAGTCTCTCAGGTGCCTCCAAGGAACGGAAAACTGCATTCAGGTGGCGGGACCCCCAATGCGTTGGCGCCCCTGCAGCACCCAGGGTGGCGCTTGGGGTCCGGAGCAAGGCAGGGGCTTGGCAGCTTTTGAGTGGCAGGCTGGCTGGGGAGCCCACCGGCCTCAGCGCTTTATCTAGGCACCGGCTGGTGGAGCCACCTCCTCGCCCTGTGGGCCTGCTTCCTGGAGTCACTCCAAGGGGCCCGCCATTCGTGGTCTTCCTCTATCTAGTCACTCGGGTGACTGTGCCATTGAAGAACCGAGTGCTACGACCTTTCTGTTCTTTCCCAGATACATCAGTATTTTATTTAGATGACCATTTACTGGGCACCTTCTGTGAACCAGCTTTATCTATAGGCCGTTGTGGTGAAGGTGCCTGATTACCAGTATTTTACAGATAAGGAACCTGAGCACCCCAAAGCTCCAAGGCCACATTTTTTCTCTCAAGCCTTTTAGCTTTCTTTTCTCCCATCAACACCTGCTCTCAAGAAGAGAGGGCCTAACACACTGTTTCACACCAAAGTGTTAATGACATACCTAATGTGTTTGTGTTTCTAATCTACTTTAGCTGGGGAAGCCCTCAATACATGTTATTATGCGGTGTGTCTCAAATGTGAGGGAAACCACTATTCTCCACTATTTGAAGGGTGAAATTTTCTTTGTATTGGCTTAAATTAGTTTTAAAATGTTGTATGAATACAGAGGGTGCCAAAAAAAGGTATACACATTTTAAGAGGGGCTATCTATGCCCAAAGAGTAGTTTGCTGTAATCAGAAGTGTCTAGATGCTGATGGTAACCATTTTGAGCACCTCTTGTAATTGCAGAAGTCAAACGTGACTTGCATTCATCTTTTGTTATCGGTATATATTGAGTATTAGTTTTTTCCTTTCTTAAAATGTATATACATTTTTTTGGTACCCTCTGTATATACATACGAACAAAACCAGATATAAGCTTATGTTATAGCTTTTGAACAACTCTGGAATAAAACCAAAACAGATTTATAAATTAAATATAAAAATTTCCCAGAACTATACACTTTAAATTAGTAATGTTTACTCAACTACTACTAAGCATCATGAGGTGCTGACTGCTCAGGTTGGGTACATTTGAGTTCTGTGTGGCCCTACCACGCTCATGGTGTGTGAGGTGCCCTGTTTTGAGCTAATTTTCTCACCTCTCTTCCCGTTCCAGCTATCACACCTTCTTAAATCATACCCTGTGTCACTGTAATACAGCATTTTGCTTTCACTTGACTCTAATAAATCAATTAGAGATTAACTTTGAGCTGTTCCTTTCTTATTAGCACAATGACTGAAGTGGTAACCCCTGGTGCCAAGGCATAGCACACACAGGCACTGAAATCACAAGGCAGAACTTGGTATCAGACACTTATCCTAATGGTCCAGAATGTGTTTATATTAATTTCTTATCATAAATAGGAAAAATAAATAAATTATGGCCCTCCAAGGGTCTGTAGCTCCCAACTAGAGAAATACCATTAGAAATCAAATACTTAGTAGAGGAGCTGAGAGTGAAGTTGGAAGGAGAGGAAGAAGGGAGAGACTTCCCAACTATTCTTGAGTTTTATTATTTTTACTCCAATTCAACAAATATTTATTTATTATGTGTAAAGCATTGTGCTAGGCTTCAAACTAAAGAGATGGCCACAGGAAGATAGAAGAGCAACATACTTAAGAGAATGCCAGTGGCATTCAACTATGTGAATACTGTTCTAGGCTCTGCTGCTTACTAGCTGTGTAGCTTTTGGCTTAACCTTTCTGTGTCTCAGTTTCCTCTTCTGTAAAATGGAGACTGCCTCATAGGGTTGTGTTAATAATTGCATGAATGGGGCCGGCCAAGTGGCGCGACGGTTAAGAACTCGCTTGGGATGCCAGAGGGCCCCGGTTTGGATCACACATATGAGGGCCAGTGACACTGCCCTCCACAGCTAAGATGCTGAACAACAGCTCAACCTGGAGCTGGGTTGCCATGAGTCGCCGGCGATGGCATAGGCTGCAGCCGCTGTGGCAGTGGGTTGCCATGGGCTACCGTGTGTAGCCAGCAGCCCGTGTGTAGCCAGCAGCCCGTGTGTAGCCAGCAGCCCGCGTGAGCGGCCAGCAGCCTCAGTGAGCGGCCGTCCAGAAGCCGGCGACTGATCTGCCTCACCAGGGAAGAGCGCAATGATGGTGCCAACTTGGGCCAGTGAAGCAACATCCTCCACAACTAGATTGAAGAACAAAAATGACAGCAACTTGTCTGTTCCCCTTCCCCCAATTCCCCAGCACTGTTCCCATCCCCCCAATTCCCCAATAAAAATCTTTAAAAAAATAAAATAAAATAAACTAATTGCATGAATAATACACATAAGATGCTTTGCACACTGACACACAGTAAGCCCTTACTAAATAGTAGCTCTTGTTATATCTGTTACGCAACAAGAATGTACCTTAGCTCTGCTTTGGAGCACCACCTCAACCACTTTGATATTCATTGCTCATGTGTCCTGGCAGTTTTAAAAATTATATAGTAACCTGTTTGTGAATGTACAATCATGGACAATAAGATAGCTATTCCCATCGTTCAGAGAGATGAACCGAGGCACAGAAGGACCCAAAAGCACATCCCTTCCCTATCGCCACTCCCACAACCAGTCTCAGGCCCTTTGCCCCCTACCCAGACAGGAGTTCTAACTACAGATGACCCAGGGGAGCTCAGGGCTTGAACAAGCAATACTAGCTTCTGTTGTTTCCTGGAGCTGTCAATAATAAAATGAGAGGCTACTACCTAGCTCTTAGGTTGTCACCATGATTGCAGCAAGGACAACAATGACAGATCTGTAGAGTGCTTGTACTTCCAAGAGAAAGGCCCTGCGTAAAGAGCAAATGTCCTCATGCTGAGCCTAGCTAGATATTTGCTTTTCTTTTTGTACTTGCCCTCTCCCCTCCCTGGGGGGGGGGAGCCCCCACAAAAACCTTCACTGCTTCTTAAGAACTCAGTTCAACTCCATAATCGTAATTCTCAAATACTTTTCATCTGCATAGCAATTGAGTTGTTAAAAATGCATTCAGGGTCAGGTGCATGTTTACTGCCTTTGTGCTGTGTGTAAGGTGACTGTACAGGGACTGTGTGAGAGAGGAAGCAATTTCCTCACCTCTAGGAATTTTTGCTATGGATATAAACAAAGCAAAATCAAAGATAGGAAAAAGTGAGACCAAGGCTGGATCAGGCTAGAGCCAAAGAGTATGGAAGAGGATATCATTAATTCTTACTCTTGTGCTGGCAGAAGGCTTCTACGAAGTGGTAGAATTTGATCCGAAATTCCAAGGATGAAGATCTGAGCAAGACTTGACCAAACATTATCTCATTGGGTTCTTCCACTAGAGAAACAAGAAAATCAGCAAGTCAATGAAAGGGGTAGATCGAGGACTGGATTGTAATCATTATAGCTATGCTTATTGAATATATGCCATTTGTCAGTGTGGAATACACTTCATTGAAAGTAACCTTCAAGACAAACAGAGCAATAGAGACTATGATTATCTCCATTTTGCAGAGGAGACTGAGGTTCAAAGTGGTTCAATAGGATACTCAGTGCTTTACTACTAAACAACACAGCTGTGACTTCTGCTCAGACTGTCCCACTCTTTTGCCAGGTTCTGTTTTGTGTTATATTGCTTCCCAGACCTGCTTTTTCTGGAGCTTACAATGACAACGTTGAATCAGTTGCTGATGTCTGCTGCAGCTCTAAACATCCTTTTGATTCTATCTTGCTTTTGCTCCAATTGTGCAATCACTTAATAACAGCCTGTTAAATGGCCTCAGAGCAGGAGATGAGATGGCACTGAAAGATAATTGGAAGCTTAGGGTGACAGGGAGGTGAGAGACCCAACGCCAACTCTAAGCAGCTAAGCTCAATTTTAGTGCTTATTTTCCTGAGGCCCAGATCCATATGCAGCTTCAATAATTTGTCAGCTTGAAACTTATCAATGAGGATTATTTCTAAGGAGATAAAATTACATATTTAAAAATCATTTCCATATGGTGTCTTATTTCTGTGATAATATAGAGCTAGTGGTTTATTCAGTAAGTAAGGGGGTTTTCAGCCTCATGTAGTGAGTGAAAAGAGAAATGGACTGACAACCCAGAGGATTGAGAGCGGGTATTCTAAACCTATCTCTGTGACCTTGGGTAAAATACCTCATTTACTGGCCTGGCCTTGATTTCTTATCTGTAAAAAGGAAGACTAGATGACCTGCTCTTACAGTCTTTGAGTCTATGACATTGTAATCCTTATGGAAGATAATCTACATTTTTGGGGGGGGAACCCCTACCATGAGGTCCTGGGGGAGCAAAGAATATGGAACTTCAGTCAGACTGATTCAATTTAGAATTCATATAATTGCTGGGTCACCATGGGCAAGTTATGCATGCAACTATCTGCACCTCACTTTTCTCATCAGTACAATGAGGCTAATGCAAGGCTGTTGTAAGTACTCAGTGAGATAACCAGTCCAAAGCACACAGCACAGGGCTCAGCACAAAATTCTAAACTGGCATTACATAATTAATATTATTATGATTACTGCTACTACTGTGAGTGCTCAATAAATGTTTTAAAATTTGTTGAATGAATGAATGAATAAGTGAATGAATCAAATTGTTTTAGTATTGGCGCTAAAAAGTTGAATCCAGGCTTTGTAAAAATGAAATTATCTTGGGATTTCCGTTCAACCCTCAAACTTTTTTGTCATAGGCCTGGTCTGTAGGCAACAAAGAGTTTCTTAGTATTGAACTTAGGAAAAATTACAGATTCAAATGGGGGCCAGGGTTGTATTTTTTTGTCTTCCCTTCTAATCTCCCCTATGGAGGTT